CAGCATCAGCAGCAGCAGCAGCAGCAGCTGCTGCTGCAGTTCCTCCTGCACCTAGATTGCTGCTGCTGTAGTCTTGCTTTCTCACGTCTCTGTTATGTATAAGAAGAGCTATTGGGGTGCCTAATGTTATATTATTTTCTACACCACTTAATACCTGAGCTGTATCCTGTTCTTCTCTGCTGCTGCTGCAGTAGCCTGCTGCTGCAGCCCCAGGACGCCGACGCTGCAGCTGCTGCTGCACGCAAGAAAGACAAAAAGGAAGACCCCCGGGGAGGCCATCTATCATACACCCAACAGCAGCTCCATGTGATTCTCCAAAAGTTGAAATCCTTAGATAAGAACCAAAGGTAGACATCGTAGCTGAAAGAGGAAAGCGTGAAGAAATAAATTAAAATACAAATGATGGATATAAAACAACAGAATTAAGAATATTATACAATAAAACACAAACAAAATACATTCAACAAAAATATTACGCCCCGCAGCACAAACGAGAATGCAGTTCACGCGAGCCAATCAATGCTGAAAAAAAACAACAAACAGGGAAGAAAATTAGGAATATAGGATATCAACAGAGAAAAGGAATATTATAAACATGTTTTAAAGCCAAAATAAATTTAATTTTTGGAGGAATGAAGAGAATTTTCGTGAAGAAATGCAGCAGTTGACTCGATTGCAAGGGCCCCACGGCCGACGAAGAGAGGCGATCGATAGCGAACCTCTGCAGTATGAAGAGGTCTTGAGGGAAAAAGAATAATAAAATATTATTTTCAGGTTAATTTCTTCATTGATTGTTTCTTTTTACAGATTTTCGTTCAGAAATAGCGGCGAATTCCGCGCGTTTCTGCATCGTTTGAGCTGCCTAGACACCACAGGGCATCGAGCAGCATCCTGTATTCATATTCACGTTTCTGACTTCATGAATAAAAAAGAGCTGATCACATATAAATCCGAGGAATTCAATAAAAATATATTTATTTAATTATTTCTGAACAAAAAATAAGTCGTTTATGCACAAGTTTCGCGCCGATCCAGCGCTTTGCAAGTCCGCCTTTTCGTGATCTGCTTGAAACCGGCTGAAATACAAAAAGGAAAAAAGAGGAAAACCACCGTAACTTTTGAGGAATTTCTTCCTTTTCTTTTGTTTTCTCAAACCAATATAAAAATACTCTGAGTTTCTCTCTTTTTATTGCAGGTTTCTCTCGTTCATGTTCAGGCGACGGCCGCCTCGGTGCGTAGCCGCAAGCCCCAAGGCACAGAAAACGAGCAGCAAATCAATAAAAAATAATTGCCATTTAAACCTCCATTTCCTTTTATTTATAAAAGAGAAAAACGAATCGGGAGAAATAACGTT